TTTAACTCAATTTTTCTTGAGACTTTGAGGTAGTACACTTAATAGAGGTTGAAAACTGGAAGACTCTGATTGTCCCTTTAGAAAGTGGTTTATTAAATGTCTAGTCATTTACATTTTTCCTAATATTTTTGAATTAAGTTCAATGTATTTCTCAAGCAAAAGGGTTTATTAATGTCTAGTCATTTAAATTGAATTACTAATATTGATGAGAACCACCCTTTAAGTGAATATCATAAACAATCAAATTCTCTAATTTTTTTGAATTCTTCTACTTAGATTTAGGGATAACTCTAGTAAGACCTTAGTTATTATTTCTCTAAAATTCTTCTTATATGCACCTTTCATGAACAACATTTTCATTGAGGATCACACATTCACTAACTTGTCGTTGTTCCTCACGCCGCCTCTTATTATCTCGGCTGGCTAAATATTTGATAGTTGATGTTTCTTTGACAAATTCATAACTATTTGAGAATTATGAACCTTAGTTTCTTAATATACCCTAAGAAAAATTTCTTCTTGATCTTCTACCTCATGATAATTCTCTTTCCCAACTTCTTGACATGAATATGATAAGGGAACCATCATATGTTTTTCAACCGATCCATTAATATCATCAACATTCTCTCTCTCTCTCTCTCTCTCTCTCTCTCTCTCTCTCTCTCTCTCTCTCTATATATATATATATATATATATATATATAATCTCATCAAAAAGTAGGTCTTTCGGTCTTTCTCTATAGAATTTGTATCCTTTTATAGAATCTCATCCACTTTTATTATACTAATCTTATCTTCCAGCTGATTAGATTTTGATACATAAATACTTTTATGTGTTATCTTTTTCTTACTCGATTATTTGACATTATGTTATCCACAACACCTTTATAATGAATGACCAATAATGTGATAAAAATAACAAAACAAAGAAAATATTTTGTATTTATTTTCAACAGCGAACCTCCCTTTTAACAAGGAGAAAATTAAAAAAATATTCTAACAAATCTAGACCCACCAAAATTATTGCGCAATATTCATATTTCTTATTGTTAGTTGTTTCGTCTAAGATATGAGAGATATCAATACCTCTTACAAATATTTTTTTTTATAGTCTTCAATATTCAAGAGGAAATCATGTATTATAATCCAACATTGGAACATTAATATTTTTAACTAAATTTTATTTAGAGTTTGACATCCAAGTGAATAAGTAAATAATACCTAGAGAAAGGCTCCAAGAGCCTACTGTCAAAACCTTCATATGATCCTTAATAAATGAAAATGAAAAAAAAAAAAAGAGTTTACTGATAGACATGGAATATTATTTGATAAGAATATTTTAAATATAATTTATCCTTAAGTGAAGTGCATTAATTATTGAAGAAGATTATGCTTTCTTCAATGTTATTCTTTCATGGAGGAGGTTCTTACAACTATAAAGACTATCAACATAATCATCCTTCTCAATCTTTATGATTGTCACATCTCCTTAAAAAAAGGTGTGAGTAACTAACTTAAGAGTATTTCACAAATCTTTTTTAAAACTAGTTTGAATGTCTTTAAAATTGGAGAGAAAACTAAAGTAAAAACATTTTAATTTTGTAAGCAAGACAAAAAATGATTCTGATTCGAACATATTGTTATCATGAGTATGACCCAACCAACAAGAAGCAACTGGCTAAAACAATCTATATATCATGGTGTGATCAATTGACTCAATGCAAAACATGCAATATAGTCTTTGTCAACATTAAAATCAATGTTTTTGCTAGGGAAAACCCCTAGTAGAACTTCCCCTCCAATGCCTTAATGAACTTTATTATACTATATCCTTCTGTATTGAAACAAACTATGATAAATTTATTATATTTGGTCTCTTTTAACTTTTATTTGAGAGTTAAGAGGAAAGTAGATGAGAGAACCTTGAATAAAATGGAAGGATAGAATGAAAACAATTGAAGGATTTTTGTTGAGAGGATTTTGTAAAATTTATTTTTATTCACAATGTAAAATTTCTCTAATTTAGAGAATTCAATATTTATATTGGATGAAGGTTTTAGAGGATTTTGATAGAAACTTACATAAATTATTAAAATATATTTTATATTATTATAATATTATAAAAATTAAAAGCATAATAATATTTATCATTCTAAACAAAAATACAATTTTAAAAAATATTAAAAAAATATCTATTTTTTTACGCACCCCTAGCCCAACGCCCTTTTCGCTCCAAGTCTCAAACACAACTTTAATGATCACTAAATGAATTCTTAAAATTTGTTTGTTTAATAGATTGAAATTATAATCTATAAACATTTATTACCGACAATTTAATTCCTATAAGTGTATTTATGTGTAATCAAAATTCCAAGAAATATTATAAATTTGAAATTAAAAAAGTGTTAAAATAATACTTGAGTAATATAGTAAATTATAAAATTTTAAGATTATGTTTAAGAAAAATAGAAATAAAATTGTTATATTTCAATTAAATATGCCCAACAGCTTATTAATTTTGTTTTGACTTACTAGTATTTCGAAAGAAACTTAATTAAAACAAACAAAATAAAAAGATTAAAAAATCACTGCATTTATGCTGTTTTTTTTACAGAACCTATGTCAATTAATACATAATTATTATGTATTTGATTTAATGATAAGTGAATTGATTTTGCATTGCGAAGTACTACTAGTATCACATTCTTAATTAGGGGTGTGTATGACAGGTTTGGGTTGGATTACTCAATTTATATTAGGATATTCTGGTTTGGAATAAGTGAAATAACTACTTATTATGTTAATGAGTTGGTTTGGACAAATCTATTAATTTTTGAGTTGAGTTGGATAATTTTTCTATTTTATTAATATTAAATTATTAAATGATAAATTATCATATTTTTTATAAAAATTATTTAATATTTTTATTTTCTTAAAAAAAATAAAAAAAAATCTATTTTTACTATTTTTTAACATTATAAAATAATAAATAATAACATTAACTAGTAAAAATCATCATAAAATATTAACGATAAACTAAACTTACATGAGATAAAATCGTATTAACATCAAAATAATTAATGATAAAATATTAATAATTAGTTAAAATTATAATTCACTAAAATAATAAATATTTAGAAGAATAAAATTTCAACAACTAAATTATTATTCATCAAAATCATTATAGATATTTTTGGGTGAATTTGACTGGGTTGGGTTGATCCACCCCTATTCTTAATGATATGCGTGAATTTATTATTCTTAAAAACAGGCTTGCTAGGTTTTCTTAATGACACCATAAATTGCGCATTATTAATCAATTCTATTTGAAACTAGGCGGTGATTGAATATAAAATAAAATATCGTTATATATTTTCTGACAATGATTAAGTTCCACTACATTTGATGGATAAAGCAAAGAAAAACGATAAAAATGACATACTGTAATAAATAAAGTAGAAAATTGAATAAAATAAAGCAAGGAGAGAGGGAAGTGTTTTTGTAGTGTACGCTACATGCGTCGTCAAGTTGATGAGTAGTGTGAGCTGTAACGGGATTGAAAGACGTCGGTTGCACGTGCGTTGTGTCCGTGTTGTCACGTACCAAACAGCTTAGCTCTTAATTAATCTCATTACTTCCACTTAATTCCCCAAAAAAGTAATCTAATTCTCACTTGGAACTTCACACACGCTCACACTCAAGCTCACACACTCGCACTCACTCTTTGGAATCACACAAATCTCAGACACAACGAAGCAGTGGTGAGAGAGTTGTGATAACGGTGGTTTTAACGTCTTTTGGCTGTTATTCCTTTTACACCTCATCTTGCATTTCTCTTTCACTTTCTCCAATCTCAGATCGAAATCAAGGTGACTTCGTCTTCACACTCTCTCTTTGCTTTTGCTGAAATTCAACTTGATGATTACTTTATCTGGATTTGATTTTCGTGCATTGCTTACTTTTTATTTCAATTGTCAACCTCTTATACTAGTTTACCTAGGTTCTGTTTCGATTAGCTTAAAATAGCTTTTCAATTAAATTTTTTTGCTACTTTTTTCGTTCCTTTCTTAGTTAGGTAAAAAGCGCTTTTGCGTTTGAGCTGAAAATTTTGGATAATAGGTGTTGTTGTATAGATGAAAATCTTGGAGATTAGTTCATAGAGAATGGTTGATTGTGCATTCTTAGTCATTTAATTGGTGAGGTTACTGGTTATGTGTGTAGCAGTTAATTGATGTAAGTGTTTTTAAGGCCTTGATTGGATATATAGGCAGCTTTATAACAAAATAGCTTATGGACAAGAGATAAAATAAAGTTAACATGTTATCATATAAGCTATAAGTTGTTTTCATTAGTTATTATGGAGAGTTTATGGAAATAAGCTGAAAAATAGCTTATGAGCAAAAGATAAAATAAAGTCAATCTGTTATCATGTTAGTTATAAGTTGTTTTCATAAGCTATTATGGAGAGAACTTATGGAAATAAGCTGTAAATAAATAACTTATGGACAAAATAGTTTTAAGTTGTTTTCATAAGTTATTAAGGAGAGAGCTTATGGAAATAAGCTGAAAATAAATAACTTATGGACTAAAGCTAAAATAAAGTCAACCTGGTATCACAGTAAGTTATAAGTTGTTTTCACAAGCTATTATGGAGAGATTATGAAAATAAGCTGAAAATAACTTATGGACATGTCATAAGCTGTTTCCGTGAACTTTTCCAAACAGTTTCACAGGTGTAAGTTCATGGATAGGCTCAAATAAGTCAATCCAAACTGACCTATGTGTTATTATGTGTAGCTCTCAAATAAATTTCTTGTAATGATGATTCTTGTATGGTTTAATTTCAGTTTAGTTAATTTGATGTTGCAGGCAGTGTCTACGTTCATCTCTCTGCACTGCTGATGTATACACCAACCAGATAACTACATGGTGGAGAGATATTTCAAACACGTTTGTCTCTGATGAATTTCACTAGCTCTACTATTCTTCAACACTGTTGCTATGGGCATTTGTCTGAAAAAAGGCCAATGGCTGTGGCTTCTGTATGTTTTGCTGATACATATTGTAATTGTAATTAATAACATTGAAGCGATCAGTCCTGATGGTATGATACTGATTTAGGATATAAGTCTGATTCTGATTTGATCACATTTCATATTTATGCAATATTGAGCAACATTTGGCTGTTATTTTTTTGTTATGAACACCTTTATACGCATAAAATATATATTTGTGATGTACTGGGTTTGACTGAAATTATTGTTAAGTTAACTATTATTTTTATTTGTGGTTATGCCTCTATAACAAATGTGTTGAAAGAAGTAAAAACATCGGGAGTTCTAGTAACATCATTCTTATTTGTGTTTGTTCTCACATGGGACTTAGTTTAAAATATCATCTAACTAATTTCATGAGCTAGACTCCGTTTCTATTGCATAATCATATTAATTGTTGTATTCTCTTACATTTATAGGCGAGGCACTTGTCAGCTTCAGGACAACAATTATTAACTCTGATGGTATCCTGGTACAGTGGAGGCCTGAGGATCCTGACCCATGTAAATGGAAAGGAGTGAAATGTGATCCAAAAACAAAGAGAGTGACACATCTGTGAGTTTATATACACTTGACATTTCTGGCCATTCACTTGCTATAAGACTCCTTATTTGTGAGATGAATGCATTTCATACATCATCTAGTTTTGATTGACAGGTGTAGTTTATCAAATGTATTATGTTGTGGGTAGATGAATTATATCATGGCAGTCTTGTATTTATAAGTGAGACAAAGCATAGTTTTGTGAAGCTTCTCAGGAATGTTTTCAGCCATGTCTAGAACATGTAATCTAAGTTCTGATTTTGACTTAAACTTCTGTAAACAAGTGTTATCTAATTGTTGGTACTAGTACTGATTCTAAATTTCACATAATACAATTTTGCTTCTCATTTTTTCGCTGTTCTAGTCTATGATGGTTTAATTTCTGACAGTTCAAATTTCTTCCCCCTAGTGAGTCTGCCATTTTTGAAATCTCTGTTTTAGTGTTTCCCTCTTTTCTTTTATGGGTTTTGTGTTGGACTAGTGTATTCATCAATGCAGGATAGGATAGAACTTTTTTCTATATGTCAATATCCCTGTAAGTTTGAATATTGCATACTTTGGTTACAAGACTTCTGAATTTCAGAAAAAAAGTACTTTATATCAAGGTATAACAGGAGACTTGCTGGCAAATATATATAGAATTCTTATCTAACTTATCTTTCATTGGTTATAATGTAGGATTCTATCACACCATAAGTTAAGTGGGTCTTTATCACCTGACCTTGGGAAGTTAGATCATCTGAAAGTTCTGTATGTGTTTTTAAAATTTTGATTGCATATATCTTTTCTTTTAATTATTAGATACATACTATCAATAATTTCCTATGTAATTACAATGCTAATGTATCTGCTGCAGTGCTCTTCATAACAACAACCTTTATGGGATAATTCCACCAGAATTGGGAAATTGCACAGAATTGCAGGGAATGTATGTATTATTAACTTTGGTCCAGTTACCATTTTCTGTTCCATTTTTTTGTCTGTTTTTCTATTTACTGTGGAAAGTTATCTGCATTTATCTTGGTTTGTAATGGTATTAGGATAATGCATTTTAACAATCATATACCATATTTATTAGCTTTAATATTATGCATGTACATTTCAAATTGCTTATTACATTTATGGTCCATCTATTGCACATACTGGACAGCCATATACAGCGTGTTCTGATATTCTTCATATTAATTTTGAGCATTATGTTTGAAAAAGTTTGTCTTATATGACTTTGCTTTCACCAAGGAAGTTTTTCCGTTATAACTACTAGATCTTGTTCTTTATGTTGTTTAAATTTGGGCAAATCCATTTTTTCTATATCACTACTTGGTAATAACTGTTAATTTGGGTTGTCCAGCTTTTTACAGGGTAATTACCTTAGTGGAATAATTCCAAGTGAAATAGGAAATCTCTCGCAGCTTCAAAATTTGTGAGTTCCTATTTCAGTTTATACTTAGTATTTATATTTACTTTTTTCCGTCCAGATCAAACACTAAATAATGTAGTAGTATGGGCTCATTCTGTTTTCATTTCAAGAATAAACGGCTCAAGTGAAAAGGAGGAAAGAAAAATGATTATATTTTGTCTGGTATTTATGCGTGAGTTGTGGGTATTTTCATGCAAGCACACATGTCATCGAATTTAGTGAGTTGTGGGTATATGAGATAGGTCACAGTCTTCTTTTAATAAAAGTAAGTTCGGTAGTTCTGGTGTTACAGAGATTATATTCATCAACATGTCTCCCTATTTTTCAGGGATATATCAAGCAATTCCCTTGGAGGGAATATTCCAGTTTCAATTGGAAAGTTGTATAATCTAAAAAAGTTGTATGTACACTTCTTTTCTGCTACGATTGTTCTTTCCTTACACCCATTTTTATTAAATTTTATTTTTAAATATTATTTTTTAAATGTTGGATACTTTGCAGCAATGTATCGACCAATTTTCTGGTCGGACCAATACCTTCTGATGGTGTCCTTGCCCACTTTACAGAAAGCTCGTAAGTGTGACTTTTTGGTTTATTGATTTCTGCATATTAAGTGCTGCCTGGAATGTGACTGTATGTTCTGCATAGATTTTTATGTTGTAGGTTTTTTTTTGGCTGGGATATTATACTCTCAACTACTTATTCACTCCAAATTAAACAACTCATTATTGTAATCCCCCTAAATAATACTTGCATATTTTTTTGACTAAGGTTGAGTTTAAAATAAACATGTTAAAAATAGTTTATTCACACTCCACAATATTATTTAGTCGCACTTTTATTTGTAAGTACAGTTTTCATTATAAGTATTTATATTATTTAAATTTTCTATTACTCCCTCTGTCCCATTTTGTTTGACGTTTTAACTAAATATTTGTCTTATTTTGAATGTCATTTTACAGTATCAATTAAGTATTAAATATTCTTTTCCTACTATACCTTTAACCTAGTGGTAGTAGTTGTTGTGGAGTAATTGATTGAGAACCTAATTAATGCGAGAGATAAAAGGTATATTTAGAATTAGAAAATTGTATAATGTTTTTTTATGAAATCTAAAATATTTGTTGTGTTTCTTAATTCTTATGCCATAATCTTAAATATCAAACAAAATGGAGGGAGTTCATTTTTTTAGTTAGCTTACTATTCAAAATTAAAATTTAAAAACCACTTATTTGTTTTCTCATGGGAATATTAGGTGCTAGAATGATTTGATGACCTTGTATTTTGATCTTATTTTCAAAGGAATAAAGGGGCTTGGTGCTTAAATAAAGATCAGAGTAAAATATATTAGCTTGGAGTGTTAATAGATAACTAGTAATATAAGTAATTATGATGAATTGGAAAGATTGTTATAAATCGTTTGAGAATTATTAAGGAAATCTCAATCATGATTTGATAGAGAGTAATTGCATTTCTCAAGTTTTTGATCAGCATGCAAGATAGTTTCAAACAATAGGTGGACTGCATGCAAAAGGCATATCAAAATTATTAATTATTTTGGGTCTGCTACTCAGATTATTGAATAGATATACTTAAAGAAAATTAAGAATTTAAGATCAAGGAAAAATGTGATTGAGATTGGCTCATGAACTGTAGATATTCTAATTTCATGTGAATTATGGAATACATATTAAAATCACGCATGTCGATATTTATAGGCATAAATTAGAATGTGACTCATTTCACACATATTAAGAAATATGTATAAATGAAAGATAGAGAATAATATTTTTACTAAATTACCCTGATCAAGCAATTGACACCATTACCATAAATGCAAAGTGTGAGATATTGATTTGGAAATGTTGAAAGTAGTATTAGTTAAGGGCACAATTGGAAATAAGGAATTAATATTGCTTTGAAAATTGAAAGAGTCACTTATTTTGGGACAATATTTTCATAAATGGGTCACTTAATTAACATGTAAATATGTATTGTTGCAGGTTTGTTGGAAACCGAGGTTTGTGTGGAGTACAAATTGATTCAACATGTAAAGATGATGGTTCGCCTGGGGAAAAACCTTCAGGTAGAGCTGTGTGTTTTCTTTATCCTTCATTTCGCCTCATACCAAGCTTGCTGTTGGGACCTAACACTTGCTCTCTTTCTTTGTTTCTGTTTTTTTGTTTATTGATGTTTTGTCTTTTCATATAAAATACTTTTACTGAAACATTTGAATTTTCAGCTCTATTAGTCTGGCTTTTTTTGTTTTGTTGAGAAAAGGTGGTAATTTGGCTCCTCAATCCTTTTAGAAGGCCATATGAAGGTCTATACTTCATTTTAGATGAAACTTCTCTTTTCAAGGGTGTAATGGTGGTACCACGAGGCATTTTAGTAATATCCCTTTTTAGGGCTGAGATCTAGCATATTTAACATGACATTAGAGCCTGGTTAAGGACTGCAATGTTAGGCATTTGATCCAGGCCTATGTTAGGCGTGAGGGTGGGTGTTGAAGTTTATAGTTGTGATGTTGGAGTTTATTTGAAGTCCCACATTACTTAGGTTCCCGGGCTGTTGGGTGTATAAATATGTGAGGACAATTTCACCCTTTTGAGCTAGCTTTTAGGTTAAGATCCAAGCATATTTAACATCTCTATCCTGGACCTATATTCTTTTCTAATAAAATGAAGCCAAGCCTTTCTTTTAGGCATTTAGTAATATCTCTACCATGGACCTATATTCTTTTCTAATAAAATGAAGCTATTTATTATCTCTGAGGCTATCTTTTCGAGGGTGTAATGGTGGTACCATGAGGCTTTTTAGTAATACCTATATCCTGGACCTATGTTGTCTTCCAAATGAGTATAAGGTAGAGTCACCTGACCTAGACCTATTTATCACCTATATTGTGCATTAGGGCTGTTCAAAAAATCCATGAACTGAACCGAACTGAACTGAGGTTAAAATAATCAAACTGTTATATTTGGTTAGTGAACCAAACCATATTACACAAATAATTTTAGAATCGAACCAAAACTGAAACCGAACTGAACCGAAGCTGAAACCAAACCGAACCAAAACTGAAAATGAAAAATACTAAAAATAAGTTATTTTTATTTTTTTTAAATGAAAAATAGCTTAATGGTTCGGTTCGGGAAAATTTGTCTTCTAACGGTTTGGTACAATTCGGAATTTTGAAACGGTATACCAAACAGATAATTTTGGTTCGGTTCGGTTCAGAGTAAATTAAAACGGTTCGGTTCAGTTCGAGTGAACTTTTACTATGGTTCGGTTCGGTTTAGTTCAGTTTTCTCCCTGAACCGTACCATGAACAACCCTATTGTGCGTGACTAAGTTGATAAAAGGAAGAAATTTTAATAGTGTGTTAGAAGATCTAAGGAAGACAAATTATCCTTCTAAATCGATCAACAGAAAAATTCAAGTATAGGTTAATTCTGTTAAAAATGATAAAGGTTATGGTATTTGTCCGACTTTTGATATGTTGGTACATCTCTGGTTGGACTTCAATAACTTTTTATTTTCCGAACTATGTTCTGACTGTAGTATAGTCACTCAGATCATGTTGTCATCTATTCCATGTTAACTTCTATTGTTTCAATCCTTATAGACCAAAATCCAAATGCAAAGAAGAAATATTCTGGCCGACTTCTCATCAGTGCATCAGCAACTGTGGGCGCACTACTTTTGGTGGCACTTATGTGCTTCTGGGGTTGTTTTCTATATAAAAAGTTTGGTAAAAACGATAGAGTTAGTCTTGCAGTGGATGTTGGTCCAGGTATGCTCCTTATCTTTCTCTGGCTTTACTCATGGTATGCTCCTTATCTTTCTCTGGCTTTGCTCATGGATCTGTTTTAACTAGCTTTTTCTACTTTATGCATTGAAGAACCTTGTTAGAATATAAAACAATATATCTGTATGTTCTAACACCCTTGAAAATTAATACCTCCAAATAATGTCTTGTAGGTGCATCGATAGTGATGTTTCATGGAGACCTACCATATTCTTCCAAAGACGTTATTAAGAAACTAGAGACATTAAATGAGGAACATATAATAGGAGTAGGGGGATTTGGAACTGTTTATAAGCTTGCAATGGATGATGGGAATGTATTTGCATTGAAAAGGATTGTAAAGATGAACGAGGGCTTTGATAGATTTTTTGAGAGGGAGCTTGCAATTCTTGGTAGCATCAAACACCGTTATTTAGTGAACTTACGTGGATATTGCAACTCACCTACCTCAAAGTTGTTAATATATGACTACCTACCTGGTGGTAGTCTTGATGAAGTTCTTCATGGTATGATATTTAATTGAATACTCGCAATATATATTTCCGTCATGATATTAATATATGAAGCAGCTAAATCTGTATTATTAGGGAGGGCATGTGGTGATTAGAAAGTCAAATGCTTACAATTGGTAATCATTATTTACTTCTTATATCAGACCAAACTCCTGATTAAGATCCCTTAATAACTCTCTCAAAATAAGTCTCGCAAAAATTGGTAATGATTATTGTGTGCGTTAACTGCATTATTAATGAACATTTACCGTAGCACCTGAGCATAAGAATATTTGATGCTTTTTGATATGTGATGTGTCAAGATTAGGGTATATATGTCTGGGTTCTGACTTCTGATGCTATTATGCTTTTGTTATTTGATTGTTAAATATGGCATTTTTATTTATTCTGCACCATTTGATTCAAATTCAAGTGACAATAAAGCTTGTACAGTACTTCTGCTTAAATCCTTCTCGGGGGAATAATGATGTTTGTGATGCACTGCACAGAAAGATCTGAGCAACTAGACTGGGATTCACGGTTGAATATAATCATGGGAGCTGCAAAAGGGCTCGCGTACTTGCACCATGATTGTTCACCTAGGATCATACACCGAGACATAAAATCAAGCAACATTTTACTCGATGGAAAATTGGATGCTCGGGTTTCTGATTTTGGACTTGCCAAACTTCTAGAAGATGAAGAATCTCACATCACTACTATTGTTGCTGGAACATTCGGTTATCTAGCTCCAGGTAAGCAATAATGATATATGGTTGTCTGATGCATGAATAATGGTATTTAGCACTTGAACTATTAATGAGGGTCTCTTGTTATCGCCAAGTCAAGGGTATTTATAACTAGTTACTAGGCGGTCTAATACTGCAGTGATGTTTATCTGCCCGTCTCTTGTTTTAATGTGTTTACATAATATCTATATGTGGTAAGTAAGTGCTTGTGAAGTTATACTAGATTGACTTTTGAAAGAGAGTAAATCCAACAGAGTTAAAAATATTTTTTCTTATGGCCTTTATATAGAAACAGAAACAGAGGACTGCTTTTGCCAAACCAACCAAAAGAACATGAAGAAAGTGACTGAGTACGATAAAAACCTTTTATATTTTTTCTTGAAGTAAAGTAGCTGCTAGTAATCAATATTAAGCAGCTTCACAATTAGGTGACATTGAAAGGGCTGATTATGTTTTGGATGCACAAAAATGTGATTTTTGTTAGACTATTAGTTTCACACTATAACTCCAGATTGTTTGAGCAAGCCTTCTTACTCCATTGCAGAGTATATGCAAAGTGGCAGAGCAACCGAGAAGACAGATGTTTATAGTTTTGGGGTGTTGACACTTGAAGTGCTTAGTGGGAAACGGCCAACAGATGCATCATTCATTGAAAAGGGTCTCAATATTGTTGGTTGGGTATGTGATGCACCTTAATATTAACTTTTTTTTCTTATAATAATAATATTAGATTTTAGTGCAAGTTATTAAGCACGAATACTCACTGAAGTAGCTTTTGTTGTAGTTTTAGGCCCACGCATTATACACGCACCACTCATGGATTTCGGAAGGCTAGATTCTTAAATAATTGATAGAATACCATTATATATGATCATATAACAACTCAATTACACTTCTTTCATAATCCCCCTCCCAAACAGATCCTATGAATATGTCATTGTCTATTATAAAATGGGCTTCCTTACGGTTATCACTACAGTTAGCACGAACAATAGAGTGTTGATTATATTATTTAAGTAGGAGAACAGAAACCTCTTATCACCTTGTTGTACATGTGTACCTTTTTATGTCATTTCAAGTGGAGGTAATCAAAGTGCTTCTCATAGTTTAGTTGAGAGGAGCTAAATCCTTAATTTGTTATAAAACCGGCTTCCTTATGGTTACTACCACTACAATTAGCATGAACAAATGTGATGTGACTGAGTGTTAATTGTATTCTTTAAGTAGGTGAATTATCTGAAACTTTTTATCACCTAGTATATGTTCCTTTTTATTACGCAAATACAAAGCGGAAGTAATCTTAGTTGCTGTTTTTAAAAGGAATGAACCCCATTCTAATGCCATTACTTGTTGATGCAGTTGAATTTCCTTATTACCGAAAATAGGCCGAGGGAAATTGTGGATCTACTATGCGACGGGGTGCAGGTGGAGAGCCTTGATGCTTTGCTCTCTGTGGCTATTCAGTGTGTTTCCTCAAGTCCAGAGGATCGACCCACTATGCACCGAGTGGTCCAGTTGCTCGAATCGGAGGTCGTAACTCCATGCCCAAGTGACTTCTATGACTCGGACTAGAAAGGTTGCGAAGACAAATCAACTGTATATTGTGTTTGCATCCATGTCGCTGCAAATTACTTGAGTCAGATGTGATGAAACAGGTTAAAAATCTGCACGCAACTTTTCATCTCAAGTGCATTCATTCAAAATGTAAGTTTATGATGGAAGATGTCCTTCATTACAGCACTTCACGACAGAATGTGTTGTTATTCAACGGATATCATCATTCAACATTTTCATGCATTTCTATGCCTTCCTGATGGAGTTGCATGTTATATTTGATCACGGTTCCCCTTCCACTTGTGTTTTCCACGTGTTTGTTAGCATTTGTAATCTAAGTCACATTGTTCTCTCCAATTTAAGTGTATATGAGTATGTATAATTTCTGAAAGTCCACTTTTGCAAGTGATTCTTGTTATTTATTTTTTGTAACATATGTTTCCATAAAAGAATCCATCTAATGAAGGTGGTTCTCAGTTTCTCATTTGAGACTCATTGTCTTTGTGCAACATTTAGCTGTGTGGGAGTAGGAAAGTTCCCTGTAGAATTATCAATTGTGCAACTCTGTCTCTAACTCACTATCATCATACTATTCAATATTGCATCTCGATCCTCTTCCTAGACTTACCTTGTACTAAAGATGATGCTCCTCCAAGACTTACCTTGTATTAAAGATGATGTTGTTGTTGATAGAAATTAGACTAAGTCTACGCCTGATTTCAACTGGAAGAAGTATCGGAATAAATTTACGCTTGATTTAATCTGAGCTAGAAGATGTATACGCCCTACTTCAACCGGAAGAAGTATCAAAATAATTCTATGCTCGATTTAATTTGAACCAGAAGATGTCTACGTCCGTCTTCAACTGGAAGAAGTATCAGAATAAATCTACGCTCAATTTAATTTGAATCAGAAGATGTCTACGCTCAATTTCAACTGGAAAAAGTATCAGAATAAATCCACGCTCGATTTAATCTAAGTCAGAAGATGTCTACTTCGTCTTCAACTGGAAGAAGTATCAGAATAAATCTACGTTATATTTAATCTGAGTCAGAAGATGTCTACGTCCGACTTTAACTAGAAATTATGTTAGAAAGAGTCTACGTCCGATTTTTTCGAAGGAGTATCAGAATAATACGCTCGATTTAATCTAAGTCGGAAGATGTCTACGCCCTGACTTCAACTGAAAAAAGTATCAGAATAAATCTACGCTCGATTTAATCTGAGTCAGAAAATGTCTACGCCTGTCTTCAACTGGAAGAAGTATTAGAATAAATCTACGCTCGTTTTAACCTGAGCCAAAAGATGTCTACGCCCGATTTCAACTAGAAGAAGTATTGGAAGGAGTCTACGCCCTACTTTTCCAAAGGAGCTTCAGAAGGAATCTACGCTTGATTTCGTCTGAATGATGTACTAGAAGATGTCTACGTCCGTCTTCAACTAGAAAAGGTGTTGAAAAGAGTCTTCCAAGAAACTGTTTTTTAGAATTCAGTCTCTGAAGGAAATGCTTGTCAGATTAAATCTCTGAGAATAAGTTTACGAGGTAAGTGTTTTTCAGAATTCAGTCTCTGAGGAAGATGCTTGTCGGGATTCAGTCTCAGAGGAAATGCTTGTCAGAATTCAGTCTTCGAGGAAATGCTTGTCAGAATTCAGTCTCTGAGGAAATGCTTGTCGGAATTCAGTCTTTGAGGAAATGCTTGTCGGAATTCAGTCTCTGAGGAAATGCTTGTCGGAATTCAGTCTCCGAGGAAATGCTTGTTGGAATTCAGTCTTCGAAGAAATACTTGTCGAAATTCAGTCTCTGAGAAAATGTTTGTCGGAATTCTGTCTCCGAGGAAATGTTTTTTAGGAGATGTTGTTCAGAGTAAATCTTTGAAGGAAGTCATTTGGTCATGCAGATGGTTGCCCCGTCTTGTTTCGGAAATTGATCTACAATTCTCTTTCATTGGTAAACCCGTCCTGTTTCGGGAATTCATACCACCTGGTATTCGATAGTTTCCCCAACTTATTTTCGGGAATAAATCTTCGACCTAGTCATGCAGATAAGTTTCCCCGACTTGCTTCAGAAATTAATCTTTGACTTGTTTGAAAATTGCTGATGATATTCGTCTGTTTGTAGGCTTTACCTGGAAAGACAAAGTTAGTCTTTATGCAATGTCATGACGCATGTAATGCATTGTGTAATTATGTTCTCAAAATAAATGAGTGTGTTATATGCGTTTCGTATGCATATGCTATGATATTTTATAAATGATGTATGAGATGTAAGATGTCACTGACGGCGAAGGTAGTTTCATGTAACATCTTTGGCTAAGGAAAATAAATTCCTGACTGTCGCTGGGGATGAAGAGTATGAATCTTCAATCTTGTTTAGAATGTCTTTGCTGGAGATTCCCATTTTCTATTTTGGAGGATACTCCGCTAGGAATGTTTGACTTCTGCTTGGGAAGAAAAGCTCAGGAACATTGATCGTTCGTCGCTCTACTGAGAAATTTAATTCTTATATACCCTGACTGAGAATAAAAGAGATGGATAACCTTTCGAGGTGTTGTCCGGCCGGGTTTCTGATATGGATGTCGACTCGTCTGGAGAGAATAAGGTTGAACGATTCCTGGTCCTATTTCCAATTCAGTAGTAACTCTCTGGGGATAGCAACCCATACTGTCCTTTGTCGGTAATTTGTGGTAGTTAGAGAAATAGACTCAAATTGGGGAGACTGTAATCTATTGGGGAAATACATCCTGTTGGGGAAATAAATCCTAAACCTGCTGGAGAAACACTTTGCTGAGAAAATGAGCGCTGCTGGAGGAAAGAAATCTGCAAGGGATTTTACAGTTTTGGAGGAATAAGCTCAGTTGGGGAAGAGAATTTTCATAAACTGTACTGATGTTGTAATCTCCGATGGAGATTGGGACTCTGTAGGTTGGCGATATTGCTGGGAAAAAGATCATATTCCTTTATCTTCTAGGGTGATCTGCTGGTGAGTATGATCATGTTAACAACTGGAAGATACCTCAATTTCTGTCTTGAAGGTATTTTAGACTTGGGGGAAATGTATCTCTGTTGAAGATGAGCTTGTGCAGATAGCTCTGTAGAGATAATTCCGTGGAAACTACTTTGTGGAGATTTATGGACGACTTACATTATCTGAACTTCTAGAGCCCTCGGTAAATGTTGATCGGAGTGATAAGCCTTCCACTGATAGACAAGTGATGAGATGATGAGACATAGTCATACGCTTTAATCCCTGACTTTTACCTGGACTGTCTTTTCAGATTTTCAGCTCACCAGAATATCTTTTTTGCTCAAGCCACCTTTTCAGGTTTTCGACTTACTGGGTGTATCATATATATATATATATATATATATATATATATATATCCCTAATTTTTGCTTGAACCTTTTTGGTTCGTCAGGATGCCCTTATTTTTGCTTATGCTTGTCAACCTAGCGGGTCTCTTTTATGCGTAGTATTTTTTGACTATGTCCGCGTTCACAGGGTGTGAAGAATTATCACTGTCCATAGTAGTAAGTGTTGTAGCACTGCCAGAAAATGTTTGTTTGATCGTACATGATCCTTTGCTGGAACTCATGTTCAATTCCCCAAGTGATTCAGATGGAGATCTGTTCTTGACTACTCAACACTTTTGAGAGATTTTCTGAATCTTGAATCGACTGTCACAGATGAGTTGGGTAATAACATGTCATGCCCCCTTGATTATGGAAGACCTGTTATTGGAAGTATCTTTCCATTTGAAGTGATTCTGTTCATTGAGAGAATTTTTGTTCATTGAATATTCGTCGTGTGAATTTCTCTGCTGTCGAACAATTAGTTATATGCAAACAGTGGTATTAAAAATGCAAAGCTTATGCCTGTCTTGAAGTTTTGAAAATGTATTTTTAGTAAACAAACAAAATTTTGTAAAAATATGAATTCAACTCAGGATTTATAGTAAGCCTTACAAGAGTCAGGATACCTTTTGTAACAGTATGCTTTTGAACTAACCTATGCTTCAGTTAGAACTTTTAAGGGTTGTAACGTGGCCTGATTCACGGTTTAAGAAACAAAGGATAAAAACTCAAACTTTATTTGTACTAAACCTATTCTTTGTGATGTTCTTCGGTCCTATACTCAGTTAATTGTGCGTTTGGATTCCCATTGAATCTGGAATTACAACACTGATATTCCGGTGATGGTTCAGATACTGGGAGTTTATTTGAGGAGGCAGCCATTTTTTGTAATATTTTTATTGAGGATTTGTAACGACCTCTTTTTTGACTTTATTATCCCTATTTTTTGCCTGAACTGTTTTGAGATTACAATCAGCAGGATGTCCCAGTTTTTCCTAAGTCTCCTTCATAAGTTTTGACTTAGTAGATTTTTCTTTTGAAAGATAATGACTGCCTATTTTAATGATTACGGAGAACCATCACCGTCTTTTGATTTAGAAGAGCACCTTCAACACTATTCATTGTTTATGAAGGTAGAGCTTGCGACTGAATGCACATTTGAATTTAACTGAGAAACTACCCTGCCTCAGGTTACGATTACGAGTTTCAATTTGTGTGAAAAAGAAAACTCCTACTCCTTAGGCTCAAAGGGGTTGACTAGGGATTAACTTCCTTATATCTCCACTGTTTAGGATTTGAAAGAACGCATGTACATCGTCAGCAAGATCTGTTCCAAAGCATATTATATAGATTATGGTATTACTTTCGTCATCCTTCCTCTAAAGGCTTATAGCTTTTAATCGAGAGTTGAATATCACAAAACAAAGTAAGAAAGCAGTTTAAATATAATCAAAACGAGTGGATTACTTCAAGAAAAACATATGCAATGTATTAATAGAACAACAAAGTTTGACATAAAATAAATGTTCGAACAATCAAAAGAAATTACAATTTGAAAATTCAAATGAAATAGACGCCCTCAATCTTGGCCATGATTTGGCATGGGAGTAGTGGTCACATTGGGGGTATCAGGAGGATCAAACTCAATCTCTTTGTTGTAAATCAGATCTTGGATTTTTTTTCCAGAGCCTAGCAATTGTTGGTGTCGTGCTCCGGACAATTAGAATGATAGGCACACTTCGTATTCATATTGTACTTTGGAGAGGATGTGTTGGGATTTTGAGGAGGATCCCGAAATGAAATGAGTTCAGTTTTTAACAAATGTTGCAATGCCTGAGATAAAGGCATGCCGATCTTGGTAAACTGGCTTAACGGAGCGTCTGACCTTCGTTGGTTGCCCTATTGTTGTTGTTGTTGAACAGGTACCGAATTAGAGATCAATACCGCTCCCGCAGACTGATGACAATCATTTTTACTATGGCTCTTATGGCTATAGACAACATTGGCTTCTTTTTTACCACCGAATGGCTT